AATCCTTTAGGACCATTCTTTGATTCCACTTGAGTTATCCAACTTTTAGACATTATTAAGCTGATGACTTATAATGTTCTACTTTTGAACTTTCTAGAATACAACTTATTGTATTCATATCCTATTTATAAGGATTGTCTTTGCAAGTGTTATTCCGACACTTGATTATTTTTTGTTTCATATGGGCTACATTTGCCCCTTAGAACTCTCTATCTATATCATAAGAATACCAACTCATTCTCTAAGTACATCCCCAACTCTTTAAGTTATTCCAGCATTTATTAAAGGTAGCCTTGACTACTATTTCAAGGACCTGTATCCTTATTTATATTTGACCTCATACAGTCACTAACTCCAATATCAAATTCTTAAGCATTATCTTCAATTATATGAGGATAATCTTATAACTCTTTTATTATTTAGGAGTTTTCATCATTCTCGTGATCCCAATTATAGTTATTTACTACAACCACATTATCCAGTTTGCTAAGTCAAACACTTTTATTGTTCACATCCTCAACTCTCTAAGGAAAACCTTATATTGTTCCCAAGATCTTACTGGCCCCCTTGTATTCACCATATTGTTAATATGTTTATATATAAACTAAGGTGGAAAGTACTACTCCTCGAGGAAAACCCATTTCTAGGACTTTTCAATGCCAATATCAAGTGGTAATATATTTGACCACCAATAACAATTGGATTAAGGAACAACTTCAATACCAAATTGTAAACAATTAATTTTTTCATTCTACTTTAGCCACTTAATCACACCTTTAACCACTTAAAGGAGTTTCACTCACAAACTTTATAAATCTTATTTCTAACTTGAGGATATACTAGCCTCATGAATGGCATCTATGCCACTCAACTTTTATATTTGGTCCAAGTGTTCCACATGTTCGATCTCATGACTGACACCCAAAGGTATTACTGATATATTAACTTGTTACACTAAAGTTATGCCATTCACCCTTGTCACATTGGTAGTCCAAGACCATTTATATAATAGTTTTACCTCTCAAAGACTGAGCCATCTGTCTATGAGTGGTCATCCTTTGACCACACTTTAACACCCTTAGGATGTTTAAAGATATAGGGAATACCCTTCCCCAATGTCCTTTCTTCTATTCCCACCAAGTCCCTCTTCATCTATGGCTATATTCGCCAACACTGCCACTGAGTAAGGCCTAAAGGCCTGACCATTAAGTCTTATTGACCTCTAAGACTTCTTCACCATGTGACCGTATCCTTCATCACTACATTAAAGGATTATTCTTTTTCCTTTCCATAATTTGGGACTTTAAAATAACATTTTGAAACACAATAACCCTATACAAGCCTTTTGGGTACTTTCCCCACTTTCCACCCTTAAGTGTCTTAGCCATGTGGCGAGAGTGAGGTTTTGATGAACCACACTAAATATCCAAGTAGGTAATGCCACCCACATTTGGATTGGGAGTACTTTTGACTATTCAATCTCTCTAGGGAGTTAGAGTTGGCTTTTGAACATTTTACCAAGTTACTTTACTTGTTCACTCTAGCTTTGGACTCTTTAGTGGTTATATCATCACCCAACACATGGGTATACCCTTCCTTGATCACATTGGCATTTCTTGGCCAAATTAGCTATACTAGAGTCCTCCCTTAGTATATTTTTGGAGCTCACCAAACCTCTTAGGGTCTAGGAGATGATCTCTTTGGGATTTCACCCTCGGACTTGGACTCGAACTTGGACTCGGACTTAAACTTAGTCTCGGATTTGGTCTCGGACTCGGTCTTGGACTCAGTATTGGTCACGGTCTCGCTCTCGCTCTCGATCTCAGTCTCGGTCTCGATCTCGATCTCGATTTCAGACTTGATTTTGAACTCAACCTTAGACTCCATCTTAGGTCCATCTCGGACTTCATCACGGATCCATCTTGGGTCCATTTCAGACTCCATCTTATGTCCATCTCGGAGTCCATCTTGAATTCTTTTTTGGACTGCTTCTTGGACTCCATTTCAGACTCCTTCTTGGGTCCTATTTTAGACTTGTTCTTGACACTTTCATGTTTCATGACACTTGCCTTGTGTCAATCTTTCTTGTGTTCTTTTTTAAAGACTCATTTACCAATTGCTCCATGCACTTTTCTTGAGCACTTTGTTCTTGAGCACTATATCCACTACCAAGTTTTTAGGTTCAGACATTGAACGCTAACATCAAATTTTTGAAAGTTATTTTTCATTTTCTTTCTTCATTTGATCTAGATCTTGGGTTAATAGATCTTATCATTACAGCTTGATCACAAAATTGCAAAATTTAACTTTTGGATGAAATCAATTTTATTTAGTGCCATATACAACATTATATTTGATAGCTTAGTGCAAGCTCACAAATTAAGTGAATGAAAAAGCAACAAATAAGTGATGGGCACATTTGTCTACTCTTAGCAGAGAAGAACAACACTTGTTTTCTGAAACAAATGAGTGTTTAATAAACCACACTCTCGAAATACAATTGCTTACTCATGGACGAACGCTATGCATTTATACACTACAGAGCAGAAAAAAATTTAACATAAGATGAAATGACAATATAGAATCAAAGTTAACAACCATTCATGCCAGTTCTGCAACACAGTCTTCCACACAGCAAACATAACCCGGTATTTTTTTGCAAACGCAATCAATAGTATCTACATAGAAAAAAGGAAAACATAAGATGGTCTTAGGGTCAAGCTATTAGCGTTTGCATGTGCTGATAAGTGAGGGCCACCCCTCATGCACATGGCTTGTCTGTCAGCACCAAGATGCAATGCTCTTCTTCTTGTTGACTTGTGAACATTTAATATTATATGAGGTGGAAAAAGGCTGATTTGATGCTAAGTGAAGGTATTTTTGTGTATTAAAAGAAGCTCATCTTGTTTATTATACTCTTTTTTAAGGTATATTTTCCATTAGATGTATTGGTAGTGATTGTAACTTGTAGAAAATTCCACACTTCTTTCACCTCTAAGTATTCTAACATGTAAACTTGTTTTATATTTTCTGACCTTCTGTATAATTTTGGGTTAAAGGTCCATTAGTAACAAACAAGCCGCCTATATATCTTAAGGCATCTGCAAATTGTTTAAGTATGTTGATATTAAGCGATGATGGCCATAAAAAAACACAATGGTCCTATATTTGAAAAAGAAAAGAAATAGGTTACACTATGTGGGTGAACAGGAAAAATCTATAGATATACCAACTTTTTGTTTCCACACGACCTTCTCTAATTGAATATATGTAATTTTGACTAAGAACAATATAATTTTGTATTTTTATTTGTTTGAAGCTTGCATTTCCATTTTCCATTATTAAGCTTTCACACAGATAGCTCTTTTGAGTTTCCCTCATATTAGTATGAGTGAGGTCTATAAAGTAGTTTATAACATTGATAAAACCAGTTTCACCTTAAAGTGGAATGCTTTTATAGCATTTAGTGATATCTAAAGAGATCATAAACCTAGTTTGGAAGATTGATACATACATGCTATTGCATTTGTTAGCCATCAAAACATTCATTGATATGATTTATATATGCCCATGAAATGAAATATGGGAATGTATTCTTTTCAATATGATCCTATTGTGATTTTATTGCTTAAAGTGGATCATAAAACATCAATGTCTCCTCCTAAAGGAGAGTTAAAACACCGCCATGAGCAAATACTTCATATTAGTTCCTCCCAATTTTTACAAATTTCTATAACCACAACAGTGTTTTTTTAGTTGGGCATGTATTGTTAATGGGACATTTTTATTGGATGGTGCCAAAGTAGGAAAGGACATGCATATCAGATGGCAAGAGGAGAGAGAAAACGGCTACATATTGAGTTCTTGCCTAGGACAAAAACAACTTCACACAATGACTCTTGTTTCATGCATTTTAGATTTCATGATACCTTGGAGGTGGCAGTCATTTTCAAGTGGTGCCACAGTCTTCAGTGTCCAGTGTTCTAAGAGCTGTGGGAGCAGTGGCTTTCCAACTGATGACTCTACTGTCCTTCAAAGTCTTTCTTTACTTGTTCCCTAAGACCATCTTATGTTTTCCTTTTTTCTATGTAGATACTACTGATTACGTTGCAAAACAATACCGGCCTATGTTTGCTGTGTGGAAGACTATGTTGCGGGACTAGCATGAATGGTTGTTAGCTCTGATTCTACACTGTCGCTTCATCTTATGTTAAATTTCTTTTCTGTTCTGTAGTGTACAAATCCATAGTGTTTGTCCACGAGTAAGCAATTGTATTTTGGGAGTGTGGTTTATTAAACACTCACTTGTTTCAGAAAACACATGTTGTTCTTCTCTGCTGAGAGCAGACAAATGTGACCAGACCATCACTTATTTAACTCTTCTTTAGGTTTATCTGCAAGAAGCTCTAGAAACCTCTTCCCCACTCAAAATAAACTAATGTGGGAGGAAATTGCAAAACATCACTCTAAAGTTCTCATGCAAACACTCAGCAGAGCAATTCAGTTAAGATCTATCAAGAAAAGATTAATATAGTGAATTTGTGAGCTTGCACTAAGCTGTCAAATATTATGTTGCTAAAATAAAATTGATTGCATCCAAAAGTTAAATTTTGCAACTTTATGATCAAGCTATAAAGTATAATAAGATCTATTAACCCAAGATCTGGATCAAATGAAGAAAGAAAATGAAAAACAACTTTCAAACATTTGATGTTAGCGTTCAATGTTTGAGGATATAGTTTGAGGCTCTCCATCAACTTGGGAGCCACGAAACGAACATAAGATATCGCCTTGAGGGGGATGCAAGTGAGTTAAAAGCATTCTCAGGAGGTTCTCTTTCTACTTTTTTTAAAAAATTTTCTAGCTATTCACGGTACTTGCCTCTTATTCGCACTGACAATGTATGAGGGCATCGTGGCCGTTGAGTAGGAAAATCATCGTAGCCGTTGGAGCGCCTTCTAAAACGCTCTGATATTTAGGGTTCGTCGTGTTCTAGAGCAATGGGCAAGCCCAGGCAGAGGAAAGAGGACTCGCCATATGTGAAGCATTTGAAGCAGGTAAGTTCTATCTTTTTTACGCTCTTTGATTTGATCTCCTTTTCAGCTGGCCAAGAGTCATCCGACTGGATTAACCCCAAATTTGCTGCGGCTGTTCGATCCTCCGCCCCCGGTGGAGTACAAGGAGCCGATCGAGAAGAAAGAATTGCCTCCCTACACTGGCATCGCGCAATTCGTCAGCTGTTTTGAGAACCTATCGATCGATGATCAGGAATCCCAGGCGAAAGTGGAGACCATCGCCGAAAGAAGGGCGAGAGTGAATGCCGCTCGCTTGGAGAAGGGAAAGGAGAAATTGGCCGAAGAGATTCCAAAGTGTAAGTTCACTTTCGTTCTTTCTTTTTTTTCCTTTCGCTACCATCACTCGTGATCTTTCCAGATGATCCTCGTTCCGATCCCAATGCTCGAGGTGATCCATACAAGACGCTTTTCATCGGCAAGCTTGTAAGTTGTCTCCCATCGTTTTTTTTTTCCTATTCGTTTTACCATTAACTTTCCAGAGCTACGAGACGACCGAGCACCGGCTACAGCGTGAATTCGAACGGTATGGTCCGGTTAAAAGGGTAAGTACCATGGCTTGAGTGCGAGATGGTGGTAAGTGCATGATTTTTTTTTTATTTTTTATTTTTGCCTAAGATGGTGTGTGTCTCAGTCCAGTTCATGCTTCTCCTCAAATGAGGTCTCTTGTCTCTCTCTATAGCTAGCCAGGTGAGTCTTTTCTTTCTTTTATCCTTCGCAGTGTCTCTAAGATTCTTTCCTTAGGTACGCCTTGTCCACGATAAGCACACTGGCAAGCCCCGCGGATACGCCTTCGTGGAATTCTACCACAGCCAAGACATGAAAAGTGGGGTTTCGTTTTCTCTTCGCGTACAACACAGCGAGCTAAACGTTTTCTTTTCTTTTTCCCTTGATTGCAGATGCTTACAAGCACGCTGATGGAACCAAGATTGACAACCGCCGAATTCTCGTAGACGTTGAGAGAGGCAGGACGGTCAAGAACTGGCTTCCAAAGAGACTCGGTGGTGGACTGGGAAACGCTCGAAGCTCGCAGCCGGAGGCCACTCCACAGCGAGGAGGACGATATCGAGGTGATTATAGACGGAGGGAGGAAGAGGCTGCTAGAGAAAAGAGAAGGGGCGAGAAAAGAGGTCGTGGTTCCGATAGTTAAGCTAGGAAACAGGGAGTGAGAGGTAGAGTAGAGACTTTCTTTTTGCTGTTAGGTTTTTAGAGTGAGTCGAGGAAGGGTAATGGTCCTGTGGGACTCGGAGAGACTTAGAGACTGGGAGAGTGAGATGGGCTCCAAGATCGGCACACTGCCGTGTTTCACAAAGACGATCACTCGAGTAGCGGTATCAAAGGACTACCCGGGATGCCTGGTAAGCTCTCTCGATCTCTAGAAGACGAACTAACTCGTGATGCCTTGCCACAGCCTATTCCAAAGGAGTTTCACGACGAGCAGCGCGGCAAGCTGGCCAGCGAAGCGGTGCTCAAGATCAACTCCCACAAGAAATGGGTGGTGAAGGTTGCGGTGCTGAAGAGCTCCACGTATGCGTTTCGGGGGCCCGGGTGGACTGCGTTTGCGAGGGACAACGAGCTCGAGATCGACGACCAGGTGATGTTCACCATGCTCAGTCCCAGCCTCTTCTCGGTGAAGATAACGCGGGCCGGGGAGGACTCGGATGCCAGGCGGAATGTCAAGGTGAAGCAGGAGCAGCCGGAGGTGGAGTCGGCTGTTGCAGAGACCGCGATGCCGGGCGTGGAAGAAGAAACTGTAGCCTCAAAGTTTGTGGAAGATCCGGCTGCTGCTGCTACTGCTGCTGCTACTGCACCTGCGACTGCCACTACTCCAGCTCCAGAGTCGGAAGATCAGTTTGAACTGAGGAAGAGGACTGCCCAGGAGCAAGAGCTCGAGCATGGTCCTCCAAGTAAAGCTGCTCGGTTGGAGGATGGTGAAGTTCATGCTGCACCGGTAGCAGCAGCAACACCAGTAACACCAGCCAGCGAGATGGTAACCCCGGAAAGAGCAGAGCGAAGGCAGTCACTGGGAACAGCACAGGAACCGCTAGAGATCGATATGTCTGGAGGACGAGGTGCCGCGGAGGAAGCAGGAATACACCTGGTGCTGAAAACCGAGAGGAAGAACTTCAAGGTCTTTATTTCTGTCTCCGCCATCGAGGCGGCTGCTGCTGCCAACCCTGCTGCACCGGAGCCGGACGTTACGAATAACACTGGCGTGGTGGAGAATCCTGCTGTCACGGCACCCGATACTCCTGTTGCCGAGCCGGAGAATCCAGTGAACGTTTTGGAGACCAAGCCTCAAATTGCTGCTGCGTCTGATGCTACCGCTGCTACCGCTGCTACTGCTGCTGCTGCTGCTGCTACAACTCCACTGCCGAGGATAACCATTCCCATCCGGACGACCAACGTCGCTCCCTACTCTCGACTGGTAAGAGTCGCTCTTTTCGTCTCCTTTGCCTGACTTTGGTTCCTCCAGACGATCGAGAAGGCGTTTGCGTTGCGGTGGCTTCCGCCACAGACGTGCATGGTGAAGCTGGTTGACAGAGCCGGCAAAGAATGGGAAATGAGGTGGATTGTGGCGAGGAAGCGGATGCTCACGCAGGGCTGGTCGGCCATCGTCAAGCACTACAAGATGAGGATCGGGGATCTGTGCACGCTGGAGGTTGTCAACCCCAGGACGCTGAGGTTCTTCGTCACGGACAGCTTGGGAGCAGTGGTGGAGCGGCACTAGAGCAGCTATAAGTCTTTTGATTTATAACCTGTGTGTTGTAACATCTTTAGAAAATTTCTTGGAATGGAAAGACCTTCCTTTACCTCAAAGCAAGAGAGAAGGTGTGATCGATCGATCGCAAATAAGATCAGTTGTTACTATCTGGAAAATCGAGACCAGAGGTATACAAAGAAGAAGCAAACCAGAGCAAACATGACGACGTGGAGGACGTGGTTGGAGCTATGTTGTGCCATCGCTCTGGATAGTCTGTTCATGCTGTTCTTGAGCCCAGCGCCAGCCTTGGCCATCGTTTCTTCCTAGGAGAATGAAGAACAAAAAAAGGAAGAAAGATAAGAGCTGATCGAGCAAACAAAAAAGAAGATATCATCGAAGAAAAGAGAGAGCTATGATAGATCAAACGATTATACCAGCTGATTGAGAAGGTCATTTTGGTACTTCGTTTCCTGCTCGATTTCCTTCGCAACCTGTGGAGATCGGTCGTGAGAATCTTCTCTTGATTGATCCAAACCCTTACATTCTTCAAGAGGACCACTCGCTGGTGGAGATCCTGGACGTGATCGTCGAGATCGCCGTGGACGGGATCAATCCGGAGCTGGACGTGTTCCTCCCGCTGTGGCAGCCGATTGGAGCTCTGCCTCTGCCTGGAAGATCGGATCTAGACAATGAGGAGAGAGCGAGAGAGAGCGAGAGAGAATCACCTGGAATTGCTAGCGCTCCCGCTAAACGCCATCGTTGTCGCGAAGAACCCTAACCCTTTTGCCCTAGAACAGGGGAGGGAATGTTTGTGTTTGATGAGACGATGAGGCGCTGGAAATTATTTTTGGGGTCTGTTGCTAGATTCTCGAGGTCACCCCACATTTCCAGGAGTATCTCCAGCCGCGGCGATTCAAGATCTCTGGTGAGCGAAAAGAATCCTCCTCTTCGATCTTCCAGGCATTTTGCTGCTCCAATGGACGTGGCCGCGATCAATGCCGCGCAAGAATGGATCCACATCCACAGCAGCTCTTTCCAGCGCCGGGATTCACACAGAGTGGCAGCGACAATCACCCGGCACGATCGGGACAAGCGCGGCGAGCCTCTTCTCGCAAACTGGAAGTTCCAGTTCGGCAGCTTGGACGTTTTCCAGTTTGGCACCATGGAAATGGTCTCCATCCAGGCCAAAAGCCTGGAAAAATCTCAGCAAGATGGCATGATCCAGCAGCTTGCTCCCTCTCTTCTTCCAGCAAGCCTGGAGGAGCTCCAGTTTGGCAGCGTGGATCATCATCTCCTCGAGCGAAGGACGGTGAAAAACTATGAAGAAGGAGAAGGAGGAGGAGGAGGAGGAGAAGGAGGAGATCTTCTCACTGCTCGGCTAGCGAGAAAACGCTACCAAAGCGAGGAAGAACAAATAGTTAAAAACTCTTTGTCCACGTCCACAATGGGGCTTTCCTTTTCATGTGGGAAGCGTGGCTTCCTCTCGAGTGGTGAAGGGGTGGCGACCACTAAACGCTCCAAGGCAGCCATGAGGTCCTTCTCCAGCTCTTCGCAGCCGGATCTCCTTCCCCAGGCGCTCAAGTTCAAGCTCCCTTCCGGAGAATGCAAGCTCGTCCTCCAGCGAGGGGATATCACAAAGTGGAAGATTGATGGAGAGTCGGATGCCATCGTGAATGCGGCCAACGAGCTAATGATGGGAGGCGGTGGAGTGGACGGAGGTTCGTAAGGTTTCTTTTTCTTTTTTTCTTTTCTTCCAAAGCTTTAGTGTTTGATCGATCGTAAGACAATTCTTTCTTTCTTTCTTTCTTTTCTTGCAGCGATCCATCGTGCCGCTGGAGGAGAGCTACTCCGTGCTTGTAGGGACTTGCCTAGCCACGGTGGTGTTCGTTGTGGCGTTGGAATGGCCGTGGAGACACCGTAAGTTTTCTTCTTGGTACTCCTCTTTTTCATTTTGTTCTTGATTGAAGTTTTTTTCTAGGGGCTTCCAGCTGCCTGTGCAGCGGATTATCCACACCGTAGGCCCGGTTTATGACAAGGAAGTGAAAGATGACTGTGCTGCTTATCTTGCAAGTGCCTACAGGTAAAAGTGAGAAAAGAAAAAAGAATAATGAAGCTTTGCTGCTTTTTTTGCTCAGGAACTCGATAAAGCTTGCAAGGGAGAAGGGCGTCAAGTACATCGCATTCCCGGCCATCTCCTGTGGGATCTACGGGTAAAAGCTTCCTTGTTTAAATCCTCGATGATTGAATGAATGTTATGCAGATATCCATTGGACGACGCTGCCAAGATCTCGTTGAATACCATCAAAGAAAATTCTGAGGGCTTTTCAGAGGTGAGTGATCCTTATTTTGTTCTCCTTCTATCTTGCTTGAACTTTCCTGTTTTCGTTTATGTAGATCCATTTTGTTTTGTTTGAGCCTAGTGCTTGGCAGACTTGGGTGGATTTAGCAAAACTCAATTTTGAGCACGATGTGAGTGGGTAATCTTAATTGAACATTTAAGATTAAACAAATGTTCAAGTAAAATAATTTACTTTAAAAACACAAACTAAAAACTTTTTCAAACTAAAATTTTAAAATCTAATTATTTTAGAAAAACTTTATATAAAATCTATATAAAATTTAGTAAAATTGATAGTAAAAGAGTTGATTAAATATAGTTAAAATTGATTAGAAATATATAAGTAACTATAAAAGCAAGAGTGATTACAATAATTCTAAAATATTTTATATGTAATATAAAATTTTCTTAAAATTACAAATCAAAAGTTTATAAAAAAAATGTTTTAAAAAGGAGTATACCATTAAAAAAATGATAGCACTCCAAAAATTGTGGTAAATCCTAAAATTGTAATGAGCTATGCAAAACCAAATTGTATTTATCAAGAAAAACAAAGGAAAGTATTACCCGTTAAAGTTCAAATACAAAATCTTAAAAAACTCAATATACTTGGAAGTTTGAAATTCCAAAATTAAAGATTGCAAGCTTAACAAAGCTTAATAAAAAGAAAAAGATACTAAGTGTCCCATGCTTTAATATATAACCAATTTTCAAGTATATCGAACTTGGAAGTGTTTATCTGCAAAATAAAATAGAAAATTAATTAATGTTATTCTTTGTTTTATGAAAATATTTTTATTTGCAAAAATAATTACCTTTTTTAATATGATGAACAAAGGGTAAATAAAAGGTAATTTCAAGAAGAAGTAGTGTTTCCTTTGATAACTGTGAACATTAAAATTTTTAAAATTTTAAAATAAAGATTTAATTTTGAAATTGTAAAATAACAAAATAAACTAAAATAATATTTTTGAGAAAATATTATAGAGGTATTGTGAGTATCTAATTTCTTTTATAAAAAAGTAGCTTTATTAAATAATTATATAAATTAAATATATTCTCTGTGTTTTAAGACATATAACACTTGTGTGAGAAATAAAAAATCTTATGATAAATATTTTTTATTCTTGATTATAAAGTAATTTCTTTTACAAAGTATTTATCTGTTTTTATTAAAGAAAAATCTTTAAAATTATATAATAATTTGCTATATTATACAGTAAAAGTTAATTTTCTTTGATATTTTATATGTTTTTTTTATTTTAAAAATTTTAGATTGACATATGTAATATTTCTAAATTGCTTAGGATCTTTGAAAAGAAAATTAAAAATAAATAATATTAAAAGAAAATCATTTTAATTTCCTTTTCTAAGAATACATATTTATATTTGCTAAACTTTTGCTTAAAGTCAAACCCAGCCAAAGGTAAATTAAACCTTTACCAGATGTTAATCTTAACATATAATTTAATTCCCTTAGCACTAATAAAATTAAACCCAAAACTTCCATGATACCAAATGTAAACTTCTAAGTTTAAACAATCTCAACATGTGATGTAATTTTCTAGCCAACTAAAAGAGTTAAATTTGATACCTCTCTAATACTAAATATAACCTCATGAGTTTAGACTTCCCAAAAGGTTATATGGTGTGATTCCCCTAGCCAAATAACAAAGTCAAACCCAAAATTTTCTTGATACCAACTGTAGGCTCTTAAGCTTAGATTTTGCGAGAGGTCATCATTTAAACCCAAAAAAGCTTAACCATAAGTATCTTAAAACCTTTAACCAAGTGAAAACAGTATTCATAGATTTTTTCTTTCTATATTTGAACCTTTACAAATCGTCTTTTGAATTATTCTTTTTGGTTACTTACATATGGCCAACCACTTGAGATATTAATTTAGCTCTCACTAAGTATATCACTTCTTGTTCTACATCTGGCTATTTTAATTGGTAGGGGACCCTATTCCTTGCATAAGGCCATTGACACTATTTTGAAGATATAAGCAGCTAGTCCTTATAGAGGATATTAAGTGTATACCAAACCCTTGTTTCATAATGTAATAGGTTTAAAGTTCAACTCTCAATTCAAGTGTGAAAAGTTTCTTAAGAACTTATTTTTCTCCTCATAAGCTCTAAAAATTGAAATCCCTTGGAATGAAAGATTTCATAAACTTGGAAGGCTTTACAACGATTTATGAAGTGAAGTTGTGAATATTTTGTATATTAGTGCCTTTTCTCATATGCTTTGCATGATAGAAAGGATCAATTTCAAAGTTAATTTGTCCAAAAGTTTCTACAAAGTGGTTTTCAATTATTATCAAGATTCCACCACTTGCTTTGACAAGAGCTTCCATTTTCTTATAAGTTTATCCAGCTCTTAGATATTGATGACCACACAAAAGTATGACAAATTATTGAGGCTTATACTTGCATAGCAAGAATTAGAAGTTGATACAACTTTTATAGTGCTTATTGAAAGAATAATTATAATTTTCAATGGTATAAGTTATGGACTTTTGAGGACTCAACTTAATACTTATTATCTCAGTTAAAATAAAATATTGACTTTACAAAGCTTTGTTAGCTTCTATACCAAATCATAAGCAATCAAAAGAAATGGTTTAAAATTTAATTTTACTCTAGATTTTAGCAGCCAAAGGAGAGTAGCATTTAAATATAAAAATAAAAAGCCCATAAATAAAAGTGCATTCTTTTCTTTAATTAGTTAACAATTTTAGGAGGAGTTAAGAATATTTTGGTTTAAATAATATTA